CCCTGGCTAAGATCTAGCACCTGTTTGCCCCCTACCAATTGTACGGTATTTGGGTTTTTTGGGGTTTTTTGTGTATGTTGGTATGTGTGTTCGTAGCATTGATATGTGCGTGCGTGTCGAAGGTCAAGGATGTAAAAGAAAACAAATCTGTGAAGGAGGAAAAGAAAAGGATATATATATATTTTTTTCTTTTTTTCATTCGGCGGATTATTAGCATGAATGAGAATGGGAAAAGTGCAAGTAGAATGTGACGCTTCAGCGCGTTTCTCTGTGTTTGTATGTATGTTTGCATGCCTCAGTTAGGGGAATCAAATCAGTACTTACCACTTCAAGACAAGTACGACGCTATATTCCGTATAATACAGAAATTGTGACTGCGGTTGCTTCCTTTTACTTGAAACATTGCACATTGCCGGAGAACCGGTAGTTATCCAGGATTGGACAATAAATGCCAAGAGCAGTCGCTTGATGTGTAGATAGGAAGATAGAAAAATGTAGCTAACGGAAAGTACACATGTCGATACCTGATCAGTATCGGCACGTTCACCGTGTAGAGGGGTGTGTGATGTTGAAACACCTGAAACCCCTAATGAACCTCGGCTAGTAACATCGCTGATGATGTGTACCAAAGTATCTAATCGAAGTATTTTACGAAATATAATATATATATATATATATATATATATATATATATATAATTTTAAAAAAAAATTAGGAGATCCATTGATTCCTCTACTTTTGTTTCAAAATTCCTGTATCATCAGGCGGTTTGTGATTTCACAACGCTTTATTTTTTGAAAAAAATTATTAATGAATACTTTATTTTTTGGATCCGGAAATGTCATTATTGACATTTTTTTCCTTCTTGGCAGATGTTGAAGATGTTATAATTGTTTTTAATCTGTATATATTATTAATATGAATAAATGTTTTTCACTCAGCTGATTGATGTTACCTTCAGCATCCGGACTCCAGAGTTTCATAGGCGAACCCCTCCGTCCACTCTTCAGGGTCATCCGCAATTTACAGCTTATATTTTTCGATTTTTTTATACGTTTATCATTGGTATGAGTTTTGTTTCCGTATTGTTTTTGCATGTGTGTGCCCTATTTCGCGTTCAGTCAGTCTGTTGGCTGTACGTGTAGGGTATCGTGACCATTTCATCTTATTTTTGTTCGATTGTAAGAAAATTTATGGTTACTGGTGAAAATTGTAATAAAAAAACATCGGTTCTCCTTTGTCGCATTTTTCCGTGTCATTGGATGTCACGGAAGTGATTATGCAAGTATTGTGCCTTCACGTGTTCAGACCACACGACCCTATGAACCACGAGCAAAATGTTCCTTGATCATGTCATATTAAATTTGAATTTACACAGAGAACATTGTACAATTATCTTCAAATTCGCAGCGGAATCAAAGGGGTTTGAAAATGCACTCGGTTAGGCAGAATTTCCAGAACTGAAGAAATACAAAACAGTTTTTATTCTAAAATCGATATTTGATCTCTTCTAGGACTGTTCAGAAATCGTTTTTAAGTACTTTTCTCTGTCTCTTTTCCTCACTCCATCACTATCCTCCACACACACACACCCGAAAACACACACACATATATATATATATATATTATGTTTATATGATAAGATAAAGAACAAATCAATCTAACATCATACACTTTTATAAAGACTCATCAGGTTTTATATATATATATATATATATATATATATATATATATATATGTGTGTGTGTGTGTGTGTGTAAGATAACGAACAAATCAATCTAACAACTTTCACTTTTATAAATGCTTCATCAAAGACATATATATATATATATATATATATATATATATATATATATATATATATACATATATATATATATATACAAAGATTACTATACGTTTTTAATATTTTGGAGATCAAACTTTGATTTAATTAAGCCAACTGATTTTCTTTTTTTCTCTTTCATATGCAAATTTCTACACAAAGCATTCCCTAACGCTCTGGGCAATATAAATAGGTTTAGTAAAGGAATTAGATGAAAAACCTTTTCTGCAACACACCGTGCGAAATATCCTTTGAATTATACGTGGAAGAATGACAAGTGGGACGGCTTTGAAGTTACAGTGGAAATTATAATTTCCACACAGACAAATTTGCACGTATTTAACCATTCGACAGCGTACACATGTTTTTTTTTTATATTTTCGGAATATAATTTCGTTTTCAGCAAAAGTTTCTAGGGCTTTTGATTTAAAATTACATAAGCATTTTAAATATAAATATTAAACACAGAATGTTTTAGTAATCTTATATATAAAGTACAGTGTGTGTGTGTGTGTGTTTGTGCGCGCGAGCGTGTGTGTGTGTCTCCAAGCAAGTCCTCCATTTAAAAGCCCTAGAAAAATTAAGCGCAGGGAACGATTTTCGTTGATCTCAGATTCAGGGTTGCGAGATTATACGAGGTTAGAATATATTTTAATACATTATACTAGCCATTATCGTTTCTTTCATGGTTCAAGGAATGTAACTGTTAATTTCCTTTTAGACCCAAAATTACAGTGCACATTTTATCATAAGATAGCTTAAAAGCCATTCTATCTGGCGGCATTTAAGCTGTGGAGAATTCTTGGTTTGGCCATCATAAGAGTAGCGAGGGAGGAGTAGATGCCATATTTATTAATAACCTACAGAAGAACTCAAAATCGATCGCAGCATTTAAGGACTGGATTAATCTTTAAGAATAACTTTTTAAAAGTTCAACGACAATTCTTCTGTTGCCACATAATTTAAAAACGATTTGATGTACGTAGATCCTTATTTTCTGTACAAACAAATATTTTATTTCATGGGTGACAGAATAGGGGATAATTTATAAGATAAAATGAATATAATCTAAAGATGGAAAAATAGAAATTAGGATTAGTTATACATTCAGCATTTGAAGAGTTAGAGAAACATAATACCTAATGAAGTAAAACCTATATTATGGAATCTATATGATTAAATGCGAAAATAGTGTTAAATTATCGCACGTATTTTGAGATTAAAAAGCCCTAGTTCTACTTTATAGTAATTTGGGATTTACCCCTCCGCCACAAAGTCTCGTTGTGACAAAAGGTCCGTTTAATGAGGGAGCTCGTGCGCGCACACATGACTAGTATCAAAAATTGCCTGAGTCTTCGAAACCTTCGGTTAAGCTGGCTTCGGTGCGAGCACCGAACCCTCTCTCTGTTGCTATGAGAAGTCGCGGCCAGTTCCAAAAGGCTGGGCACCTCTCAGTACAATTTTCTTCAGTTGCGAGTACTCTCCCTTGACGGAACTGCCCCTGAGTGAACTCTGCCCAAAGACAGAGACGTAGCAAAGAGATGACAAATAAACGTGTTAGGAACTACTCTTAATATCTGTATTCTATATTTTCTACTTCTAGGCAATATCATTTTTCAGTTTTATCTAATTTGTATATTGATTTTAAAAATAGTTTATTTCATTAACTGTCCTTTATTACTGAGGTTGTATTGTTTTGAGGATTGTTTTGATTTTCATATAAAAAAGAGTTCAGTTTAGAAATATCATCTTATATAATGCAGAAATGTATCTGAAATTTGCATTTTACTTGGCCTTCAACTGCTTCTATAGGGTGACCAAAAAAAAACGGAACTTTTTAAATAGCCAATAAAACCAGAAGTGATGGAAAAAATATTTTATTCCTAGTAATTGAAACCTTAACACATGCCATTTAAGAAACAATGATGGAATTTTCATTTTTTTTTTAAATTACGTACTGTAGATGGCGTCCTCCTGTACGAATGCATTCTTGAAATCTGCTGTTGAGATTCCTCTTTGACTGCTGCCACATCTCAGCTGGGATACTGTGAATTTCATCTTGAATTCTAAATGGCGAAATGTTTACTTGCTCAAGTCTTGCCACTTGCTCATGTCTGGCAATACGCACTTCACAAATTCCCGTTTGTTGAGGTCACCCTGTATTTGTAAAAGTTTCTTTAACTATAAGAAGTCAATTTATGAATTAAATTTTCATTTAAATTTTTTGTTTCAAAGATTTCTAGTGAATATATCTTACTTTGCGAAGCGATAGCGAACGGGCGAAGCCTGCTATTTTATTATAATATTAAACGAACATTATGTATTTTCATTATTCCATTGTTCGTATTGGTGTCATCATCTTTAAAATGACATTCATTTTTTATTGTCATATAAATGACGTTTCGGCTGTTGTAACCACCCGCATTCTTCAGTTGATTAGAATTTTGAACAGAACACTTTATTTCGGGTTTTAAATAGATTGTTCTAGTTCAGAAATGTACCATGACTTCTTTCTGATATCTCAGATCAATTTCAGCAATTTTCCTTAGTAAGTTAACTATTCTGTTTTTGCCCCCTCTCCTGTTGATTGAAGCTAGAGAAAACATGAAATCTAGTTGGGTTATGTCACTGAATTCTTCAAGTACTTGTTCTTTTTAACACTGGAATACAGAATTCAACGGCTGTAGAAATAAGGTTTTTTTCAGTTCGGACAATGTGAATAATTTAAATAGGTAAAATCCCTCCTATCACAAATATAGAACGAACAGTATATATTGATAAAAATTACAATTACTTTGAAGCGCTGAAATGTTTTTAATTGAATATTTTAACCTATATATATTTTATATATGAAATGACCAGATAAAGATTATTGCAATGTTCGAAAATAATTACTCTTCTGGCGAATATTGCGTGCGAGGAATAATTTTCATCCCGAATCAGGTCTGGAGTTTGAAAATTCTGCAGGAGGGCAATCATTGTATTATACTGGTTCAGATATCTGCATTCTCATGTCTCTTTTCTTCTGAAAAATACGACGTCTTTAGTGTTCTGCTATAGGTGTCAAAATTTCTTAAGCCAACACGTGTTTCTTCCTCCTCCTCCTCCTCATCATCATCATCTTGTGCATTGTCGCCGATTCCACTGATCATAGAGCCTCTGCACATCCAGCCTTCTATCCACCAGTTCTCGTACGATCACCGAAGTTAAGAAATGTCGAGCATGGTCAGTACCTACATGGCTGAACGCTTGGGAATACCAGATGCTGTAAGTGTGGGTGTGCAGGTGGTGTAATGTATAACGGCTCAGAAATTAAAAGGCGAGGAACCGATTTCTAATTCCAGTAGGATTATTTACATTCCGTTACGCACAAATAGCCACAAAAAAGTTATGAATTAAGGTATTCTTCTACCTATTGGTTAATTGGTGTAGCGTGTATCAGTAAATTGTTATTTCCAAATAATTCTTTCTATCCCCAATAAATATTGTTTTAGCTTTAAATAACCTGTATAAGGTTGATAAGCCATAAAAAATTCAATCAATCTATAAATCCTTCCTTCACGATGCGGTGTAACAGTTAAGCAAGCTTGTCTCACTAGAATAAGTACGACTGAGTAGAGTGTTCGATCCTCACTGGGTTCCCTATATTTTCGGCCTTGTGCCACGTCTAAGCCACATTTGGAAAACCACTATATTTGCTGGATTTATCTTTTGAATTATCACTAATACTAGTGTGCTCATGTTTTGTTTTAGATATAGAACATCGATGAAAAGCGGATCAATACTTCTGAAGGATTGTCGCAGTTAACGTGTTCAAAATGCCTGGATCCAACTAAGATAATATGTTTCAGATTATCATATTCAGGTCGCTTTTTGAGTCCAATGATTTCTCATACGAAATGTCTTTTCATGTCTACGAATAAATATGATGTGATACGATTCTTTGGCTTAACATTTCATATGGAAAGAGTTTTCTCATTTTATATATTCTATATATGTTAGCAAATATCATAAACGACTCATTGACAAATTTTCAATCACTGACATGGGATACTATTCATGCTATTAACAAACGTTTATACTGATGTATTGTTTGGTCTCTTTATCATACTCGCCTTCCTTTAGCTTTGATAACAATCCTCAGAATGCGAGACTTCAAACTACAGCATCACTTTAGACGTCACCAAACGTGTTCTCTTCGACTATTGTTGTAATTAGCTTGGAAAGGAACAGCATTTGTTTGTTGCAAATTCCATTCTCAAGACACGATATTCACACGCTAAATATTTTACAGCTTACTTTCTTTTATTTACACTGTAAATTCCTCTTCAAATGTTTTCTTTTCATTTTCACTTTCTTTCAGTCTTCCATTATAATCTTCACTGATACAGAATTTATTCTTCGAGTATTCGTTTTCTGTATTATTCCTAACTTGGTCATTCAGTTGACTGTATACACCATCCATTCTTCATATTTTATTTCTGACATTATTATAGGTTGTCATTTACATTTTATTACTTAATGTTCTTCTAATTTTCAGCTCCCATCGTTTTTTATCTTCTTTATAAACGATACTTATTTAGTTAAATTCCCAAGTGCTTTTTTTTCTCTATTAGTTCTAAATTATTCAACGTGTAGTCAACGAATTCAATAAGGGAAAGACTTAAAGTCTTTCTTATATCCGTCTGTATTCTGCTTTAAATCTATTGTCCAATCTTTTTGAGGCTTTGGCGTATATTTTCTTTAACGCGTCCATAAAGTAACGAATGGTTTTAAAAGACATCGCAATATGCAAAGAACAATCATAAATAATAAATGAAGAAAGGGATTAAATGTCTGGTGGAGAAGAATTGAAAAGATAATTTTATAAAATTAACGAAATTAATGTCTGATGACAGACGAAAGAATATTAGAAAAGCGACTGACGTTTAACTTTTCCAGATGAAAGTTGTCTGGAAAGCGTGGAGCAAGAAAGGATTCACAGGATCTAGAAGAGCGGGAAAATAAACAATATAATTTACGGTTAAACATAGCCAACACAACTGTAAATTAACGATATTATTGGTTTTGACGTAAATTCAAAAAACTTAACGTGTCTCAGAGATGATGAGTTTTTTATTTTACAGAAATTTCCAAGGCCAAATTGGGGTTACGGAGAGAGTAATCATCTTCTGATGTCTTAACGATAAAATAGCTAATGACAAACACTGTCACCCAATTTGACAAATCAATTGTTTTGTATTCCCAAAAAGATTCCAGTATTTATTCTTGATGTCATCGTCTCTGATCATCTATTGATGTTACTAACTTAAATTTCAATGTTATACAATTCATTGTCTGTTTGGTTGGAAGATGATAAAACAGTCTTTCTTGAAAACTAGCCCCAATTTAGCTCAACAAACAATTAACATGAAAATATTTATAGACAAGACTCGGATCTTGGGAAAGTTTAATTGAAACCGTTTTGCCAAATCAGGCCCGAATAATATACCTGATTCTTTCAATTTCCAATGCCATCACAATGTAAATATCAGGGTAATTCGGATCAAGTGGGCATTTGGTATTCAATATTATCTGTTGGAAATCGAAGCTTATAGACTGTAAGATATTTTATGCCGAGAAAAATTGCTTTTAACGATAAAATGAAACATCTTTCGTCGGAACACGTGGTTAAAGAATTAGATTCAATATATAATACTAATTTTATTCTGAAAATATTTCTTAATTTTAAATTATTCGTACAATAATACTGGAATTACGCTTAGAAAATACCCGCTCAGTTGTAGGATGTGCTGAAAATTTATCAACAACAATTATTCTCAGGTTGCCACAGGTTAGTGAGTTTGGTTGGCGATTACAAGTTACTTCTATCCTAATCAATGTTTTGTAAATCAGAATTGGCATGTTGATCTGCCATAACAGATCAGCTTTTCTTAGTGTCCATTACTCGCCAGTTCGATCCGTAATAGGTCCACAATACACGTGGCCTTATGCCAAAATCAAACAGAGATTGTTAGTGAGGTACACTTAATGCCCATTTCTAGTGGATTCGTTCATTACAGTGTGTAGCTTGTTTGTGGACTTTTGCCAGAAATAACTAAAGTTTGTAATTTAGAATTAGCGCCTCGGTGTGCAGTAATGGTCATCAAGCTATACTCGTTGACAATTACTCGTAAGGTGGACATTCCCTCAATGATTTATTCATTTAACGTTGAGTTGAGATTAGCTGATGTAGCAGGGTTCGTATAACGCTCATAGTTGCTGGTTAAGAAGACTGTAAGGCAAACACTAGAACAAAAGGTTGAACGAAGTAGGGTTTAATCTCATAGGGACATGGATTGAGAATATTACAACCAAAGGTGACAAGCGTACGACAGAAAATGGCTACGCCGTTGCGCCCCGCTGTTTGTCATTGTTCTACACGCAGAGGATGAATGAGTCCAAGTTTCAAAAATAGCTTTATGGAAGATTAGTCAGTCTTTCGAGACAGCAGTTAATAACATGAGCATTATCATTAGTTATGAGAAGAAAATTGCGAGAAATTAATTACTTCATTGATTGTTGAAATTTCAATGGACGTTCGGTAGAAGATGATTCTTCTAATACTGAATTGATCTTATTTCCATAAAAAAAGTTTTTTGCACCATGAAAAGCTTTCATTTATCTAAATAAAGAGATGTCCTCTATTGCTAAGCGGACAGAAAAAAAAAGTTTATTTAATGTAGCCAAACCTAAAGATCTGATATTCACAATATTCTTGAACGTTAATCTTCCTTCTTATTTCGAAAATGATCAGGTTCTATTGACTCAAGAGTGTATGCGTATATGTATCTCTTCTGTCATTCTCTTTTTAAGCCATATATCCCTGTGTCAGTTTTAAACTGATACTTTCTTATCATTTTACATCAAAACAATAATTATAGATTATAATATTATATGGCTTAATGAACTTGACTTGTGACAGAACGGCTTAAAAAGGACTATCCTGTGATGTCATATATATATATATTTATATATATATATATAATATTAGTGGTAACTATACACATACTTATGCAAATATATATATATATATATATATATTAGTGTTTAAGCCTTGTTATTATATATAAATATATATATATATATATATATATAAGAAAATCGAAAACAGTGAAACCACGGGAAAACTTGCCAAAATCTAAACACTTATCCAGATAATAGTGTCGAATAAAGACAACACTGAAAAAAGGTATAAAGCCCTGAAAATAAACATGCGTACTCTGTAAAATAAAGTGCTCAAAACCTAGATTGTCCAGATCGAACAATAAACGCATACAAACGTTAAATGCAAACTCACCGAAAAAATATATAGGCCATGATCCGAATTTGTCTGCGTATAAAGCCTAGGCAATTTTCCTTACGGTTACATTATTTCGAAAGATGTATAGCAGTCTGACGTTCAACTTTCCACTGATTTGAATTTTGCGTAGGTCATATTCGATTGGTTAATCATGATAAATCCCACAAGCCTTTTTTTATCCTACTTTTGAAATTAAATTGATTGTTCACTCGCCAGTATTTTACCATCACCCTCGGTGACACTTTCTAGTGTTGAAACATAATTGTAGCTGTGTAGTGATTTTTAACATGATTTTGTTTTAATATCCTAAAATGAATGATATTAGCTCTACTCTGTATTGGTACCTCTTTTAAATTAATTGTTAAATTACACTCCATTTTCACTTTTTTTACTTGGATGTTAAACTATCCACAAAAAGCTGATAATGTATTTTGTTTAAATGCTGACAAAAATGGTATTTCAAGTTCTATTGAATGTGCCACACTTAGAAATGCTTAATAAATGAAAACATGAAAAATAAAAGGCTCACGTTTTAGAGCAGAGTTCTTTTATCGTCCTTTTTGGCTTTTTTATCATTATTCAGAATCCATGACTATTATTTCGTTAAATGATTTTCTCATTATTAATCATAGTTATTATCTTTGTAAAAATTCATTTTGTTACAGTTGAAAATGAATTTCTTCCAACTAAAATCTAGAATTATTTTCAGGAAAAATTGATGGCTTAAAATTGCTGATCACATTTATTTGTATATATTTCTGGCTTTGTTTCATTTTTTTTAGCTTCGTTTTTTTTCCTTCCCTTTTGTCAGCCTGGCATTTTTCCTTTCTTTGTTTTGTTGTATTTTAAGATAACAATACTTGATAGTTTATTATTATTATTATTATTGATTTTACTGTTTTATTTCTGTTGTTTTCATTCCATTCTTT